CTGTGTGCTTGGCTTTTGATCCTGGTGGGTTTTGATGCTCTTTGACATCAGAAGTGGCTTTAGAGAAGCCAGGTCCCTGCTGCCAGGGAGCCAAGCCCACCATCCCACCGCCACTCTGCTCCTCCTGGGGCCGGGCACCCGTCCTCGCAGCGTTCTTGCAGACGTTCAGAAATTCCCACTCCACTCCCAGCCTTGCCAGCGACAACCATCACCCAAATTAAGCGATTGTCTTTTCCCACTGTCGCAGGTTTGTCGAGAGTACCAGCGTGGCAACTGCAACAGGGGAGAGAACGACTGCCGGTTCGCTCACCCTGCCGACAGCGCGATGATCGACACCAACGACAACACGGTCACTGTCTGCATGGATTACATCAAAGGGAGATGCTCACGGGAAAAGTGCAAATATTTTCACCCTCCTGCACATCTGCAAGCCAAGATCAAGGCTGCCCAGTACCAGGTTAACCAAGCTGCAGCTGCCCAGGCAGCAGCGACTGCAGCTGCCATGGTGAGTTTGGAAAACACCTCTGGAATAGAAGTATGTTGACGAGAGACAATAATTGATGTGTTAGCTGTTCTTGCTGGAGGGGGGTGCGTGTGCGTGTGCTTGGGGATCCCAGTCACTACACGGTGCGATGAGCTTTCTCAGCATGTGGTGCCAGATCTGCTCTTAAGTAGTTTCAGACTGTTAAGATGTGTAACTAATTTGCCTGCTGATGTACAGAGTATCTATATGTACATATATGTGTGCATACGTGTGTGTGTGTATGTGTGTGTGCATATATGTATATATAGTTTATTGTATGTTTGTGTGTGGGTAGATGTGTATCTATCTAGTTGCACAGATAGATAAACCCGTATTTCAGTTACTCTAAGTCCGTGTTTGTAGAGACTTAGTTTGAAGTCGATCTTACTGTGTTAATGCTATCCGTAGCCCATCTCCCCGGCCCCCACCTGAGGGCTGTCGGCGGCTCTCGCAGGGCGCTACAGCAAACCTGGTAGTTGTAGCAGCCAGATCTGGAACTGCGCAGGGGCTGGTTTCCTAGCGAGGAGAGGAGAGCACCCCGAGGAGGGCTGTGGCGGCATACTGTCCCGTGCTGAGCCCCGGGGGTGTGGGAAGAGGAGCGCAGCGGGCGCGCTGGGGCGCGGCGGCCAGGAGGAGCG